TTCTTTTCTTTCCATCTTTGCTTTTTCTATTTCCCTTTCCTACCTTTGCTTTTCAAGTTTTTTTCAACAAGTAATTTACCTGGATATACTCAGTACAGAATTATCTCCTCTTTCTGATTTTCATTTGTATTTCTCACCAAACCCACAGTTCTCTAATTACAGGCTTTTTGTTCTTCAAAACATTATACATCAATAGCAAACTAAGTTCTACCTGGAGACTTCATTCACCTCAAATAAGAGTTCCTCACATCTTTCTCAAGAGTTTAAATATCCTATCATCTGTTAAGTTGGTTTCATATATTATCTTGGGTAATGATACAATTGGTTTCTCTTAAGACATACAATATAACTAAGGTCTAATATTTATATTTTATAATATCAACTTCTTTCCCATCTAGAGGCAATATCCAAATTCTACAGTAACTCCTTTGAAAGAAATGTGCTTTGGTGGTAGGCAAACCATTTTTTTAAAACCTTCTTATCCTCATAAGCAAGGGCAATTCTAAGTAAAAACATATCACAAAACATGGGATTAACAGTCACAGATTTAATGTAAACATTTCAAAGAATAGAATATCATGGAACCCTCACTAAAATTGTCTATAGAACTATTTTTTGTGGTTTTATGTTTGGGAAAAGAAGGGACATTGCTTTGGGACACTAATAATAAAAGAATGACACAAATTATATGATTTCAAAGACTTGTCTAAATTATAGTCTGAAAATGTCACCCATCTTTCTTCTTTCTTTGGAGTCAAACTTAATTACAGGGTACTAAGATTAATCAGCTTTAATACACCAGGAGAATTTTCCAATATATTTAGCACAGTATAGATACATCAATTTTGAATACAAGCAAACTAAATTTTAGTTCAATTACCATCAATATATTTTTTATTATAAAAATAAGTTTCAGTATTACTCCTTCAATTGAGGTTATAATTAAGATTAACTTTTCCCTTACATTGCTGAAATAACATGTATTTTGTTTAGATGAATACATTCTAAAAGCCAAGTGCCAATAATAAAGAGAATATGCATTTTGTTCTTTACAAGAGGCTGTGTTAATACCTGAGATTTACAGCTAATAAGTACAAATTGTTATCATTTTCAAAATTATAAGTCTACTCTATATACATTTAGATATTATAGTGACTTTGAAGTGACGTATATGATTTTAAATCTCTGGTCTTTTTGCATAAGCATGACAAAAAGGTCTTTCATTTTGTCAAATAAAGAGAGGTGATTCTTAGTACTATTAAGTAAATTACAGCTGTTCTCTGTGTTTATATAAATATATACACTTTTCATACATGATATACAAGGCTTTGATAAAAATGACAATAAAATTGTGGCAAAGTTTAAATTTTGCATAAACACTATGCATATTACTTTTCAAGCCAATGTTCTCCCTAAAAGTGAGATGTTTGAATTTACTGGTATCCTACCCCACTTTGCCTAATTTCATTAAGTCATTTAGAAATTTTTATAGTAAAAAATCTATTATGTGAGAAAAATAGCTTCCAATTTATAACATTGTCCAAACTTATAGAGGTGTTAGCTCTACCACTGCGTAAATAGCCCTTCAATATACTTCATGAAAATAACACCTGTGTTTTATAATCTGAGAAAATAGTGAATTAAAATACATATGCTGCTTGACCAATGTCATAGGTTAGTCTTCTGGCAATTTTCACTAAGATTAGTTAAAAGATCATAATTCTATAAATTTATGTAATCATAAGGAATTTGTTGCGTAACCTATGGTAATTCAAAATCTTTTTTTTTCCTAGAAGACCTTGCAGAATGCCAGACAAATATTTACTTCATATATATATATATATATATATATATATATAAATCTTCAATCATAAAAAATGAGCAAAGAACACATATAAAGAATAAACAAAGGGGTGGGAGGGGAAGGGATGGGGCATGGGATTAGAAATGATGGTGGAATGTGGGCTTTGATTGACATCTATTTATCTGTACCACAGTTCTTATCATTCAATATTTTATTTATTTATTATCTAAAGTACATGTATGAAGACACAAATTGTTGTGAATATACTTTGTAGACAACCAGAGATATGAAAAATTGTGCTCAATATGTGTAATAAGAATTGTAATGCATTCTGCTGTCATATATAAATAAAAAAATTAATTTAAAAAAGAATAAAGAAAGGAATATAAATAGCTTATTAGTTTTACCAAACATTTCACATTACAAAATTAACCAAATAAGTGAAAATTTAAATAAAATATTAGAGTATGGATAAGGTTGTGGAGGAAGCATGCACTGCTATGCAGGACTGATGGAACTGATACTGATAAGGTCCTTGCTAGAGGGCAGTTGATAAAAATTCAGAGAAAAATCTAAAATGTAAATAAGTTCCTTTAAATTCAGAAAATCTAAACCAGAATTTAATGATGACTTATGTATACACAGTAAAAAACATGGGAGATCTTTCCCTCAAGAAGAAATAACTAATGGAAAAATATATTAACAGTTTTTTACTGAAATTAGAAGTTTGTTTCATAGTTCACCAGGCGATTTTGATTATTCTTTCCAAGAGCCCAACAGTAGAGGATTGGCATTGCAGTACAGCAGTACAGACAGTAAAAATATTGTAGGAGAACTATGCCCCTGAATATCTGTATGATATGTAATCAAATAAAAATAAGCAGAGCAAGAAGATTGAAATTGCATGTATATGATCATAGTTTGGAGGCAATATAGTTCTGTAGCTAAAACTCACCCCAGTTTGGAGCCAGACAAATGAATTCCAGTATGAGCTGCTCATATACACTTTTTACTGCTTTACTGATTGTGCACCTTTAGCCCGTTATTTTAAACTTTCTAAAATTCAGTTTCCTCATCTACAAAATGAGATTAAGAAACTTCCAAATTTTCAGGACATTTGTAAGATGTCAGTGAAACAATTCAAGTATCACTATAAGCACAATTCATGAAAAAGTATTCAATAAATGTTTATTTTTGCCATATTTCTTATTATATATGATGTATATTTCATGTTGTATTTATATTATCCTTTTATAATATGCATATAATATTTATATATTATATTAAATACGTTTATGAATAAATATTTAGCAAATTTTAAATGTTATAGCTTGTCTGTGGTCAGATTGTGGATGATTATTTCATCTATGATTGGATTTTTTATTAGTGAATAAATATATCTTTATACTAAGAAAATTTGTTGAGCTGGTCAGGTTAAGCTAGGAATTTCTTTTTATTTATTTATTTATTTTATTTTATTTTTTTAGTTGTAGTTGGATACAATACTTTTATTTTATTTATTTATTTTTATGTGTGCTGAGGATTGAACCCAGGACCTTGCACATGCTAGGCGAGTGCTCTACTGCTGAGCTACAACCCAGCCCTAGGAATTTCAATTCTGGTGTTCAAAGCCTGAATTCTCAGTATTTAAATTCTCACTTCTGGGGCATTCTGTGGATCAGGTGGTTCTTTAGAAAAACACCTGCCAAGCAGTAATGCAGGTCTATTTAACTTATGAATCATCAATACCTGGAACTTGTACCTTCTAGATCTCTATAGCAGGGAAACGAGCTGGAGAATTTTCTGGGGGCTTTTCACTGCCTCGGCCCTGAAGTGACATATGTCATTTCCACTCTACATCATGAGCAGAACTAGCCTTTGACTTTTCCTACCTGTGAGAAGCCTGCAAAGTGGTGATGGGTGGTAGTAGGACAGTCCACATGGGAGATCTTTCCCTCAAGAATCAATAACTAACAGAAAACCAGATTAATAGATTTTTACAGAAATTAGAAGTTTATTTCATAGTTCACCAGGCAATTTTGATTACACTTTCCAAGAGAACACAAGTTACAAAATCTCTTTAACCTTGTCCACAGACAGGCCCCCCACAACATTGCAACTAAAGAACACAGAAAAACTGGCCCCTGGAGACTTCCAGGACCAGCCTTCCCTGACTGGCAGTGACTTCAGAACAAGTCAACAAACACCTCTGGACCCAGTTGCCTTATATGAAAACCAGGAAACCAGGTGGAGTGAATAGTATACTTTCTAATGTCCTCTACAGCTAGAATCCTGCTGCCTTTGTAAATCACCTAAATCACCGTGTCCTTGTCAGCTACAGCTTTGCTTTTATTGTAACTTCAATTTGTTTAAACAATCACATCTTTTCATTGGTAACATCAGTGTCATAAACCTAAATTAAATGTTATATGATACTTATTTTTTCAGCTTTCTCATGGAAACCTTGGTAAAACAAAGACAAATATATTCATAGGATGAGTTCCAATTCCTTGTCAATTTAGCTCTTTTCAGCAAAGCAAGCCTGTGTAAGCATGTGTATGGCAGGGATGGGGTGAAACTGATAACTTTTTAGTAGTTGATGCTTACAGCTATTCTCTGAGATAAATGTGCTAACGCTGAATTCAAAGACAAAAATACATGAGACTTTCCTGGTTGGTTAAATTATCAAACTGAGTTTAGAACCAGCCTGGGCACTCAATCAGGACCTAAGACATTTTTTATACAACCTCCTTGCAAAAAGTTGGGGGATCACATAGGGAACAGCAATATCACTATTTCATTTTACCTTAAACAAAGATTTCGAGCTCCCTAAGCCACTTTGGGAGAAATGGATCCATTGTCACTGCGGTCCATCTTTCTATCAAAAGAACCTAAGAGACCTGCTGTGCCAGAGACCCACAAAGACAAATGTCTGTATTCCATGAGATTTCACTTTTAAGTAAAGGGTTTTTTGTTTTGTTTTGTTTTTGTTTTTTTTAGCAGAATTGTGGTATTATGCTGAGTGTGGTGGCTCAGGAGGCTGAGATATGAGGAATATGAGTTCAAAGCCAGCCACAGCAACTCAGTGAGACCCTGTATCTAAATAAAATACAATATAGGGCTGGGGATGTGGCTCAGTGGTTGAGTGCCTATGAGTTTCAATCCCTGGTACCAAAACAAACAAACAAACAAAAAGAATTGTAGTATTATTTAATTAAAGGAGATTGGAGCTTACAGCCAGACTGTCCTGAGTTTGAATCCTGACTTTTCTACTAGGTCACTGTGCTCATTTTCCTTATTGGGAAGTCTGAACAACAATAATTATCTACTTCCCAGGGTTTGGATGTCATATATTTTATGATCAGATAAATTTAAAATAGATGAAAATTGAAAGTTCACCTTTGGGACCCTTGGAAGGACCTTGCACTGTTGTTAATGCCAGTATCCTTGACCCGCAATAGGATGGGATTATCAAGAACTGGATAATATTGTTGGGAATTGTTGTAGCTCACTCTTTGGGCTATGAGTGAGCACTTCAATTTTCTAGGACTCATGCTCCTGTCTTTGATCCTATAGAAAAGACTAAAAATAGCATACTGTAGTGATGCAGCCATAGCAATTATTATAGCAGCACAATAGCTAAGTTGTGAAACCAATGTAGACACACTTCAATAGATGAATCATTAAAGAAACTGTGGTATATATACCCAATGAAATATTACTCAGCATTAAAAGAGAATAAAATCATGGCATTTGCAGGTAAATGGATGGAGTTGGAGAATATTATGCTAAGTGAAATAAGCCAATCCCCCCCAAAAAAATGCCAAATATTTTCTCTGATATGAGGATGTTGATCCATAATGAGGATGGCATGAGGGAAGCATGGGAGGAAACTTTAGATAAGGCAAGGGGAGAAAGAAGAAGAGAGGGCACAGAGTGGTAGAAAACACAGTGAAATGAGATGGACATCATTATTCTAAGTACATGTATGAATACATGAATGGTGTGACTCTACTTTGTGTACAACCAGACATGAAAAATTGTGCTTTATATGTGTACTATGAATTGAAATGCATTATGCTGTCTTATATATCAAATTAGAATAAATAAATTTTAAAAAAAAGACTGCTGGGCACTGGGCCCTTAGAAACTATCAATGCAACTCTGAATAGGAAATAATACTGCTGAGAAAATTCAGAATAAAGACAGGTGAACGTTACTTTCCCAAGGTTATACCCTGGGTCTAAAGCTTAGAATTACTAAAATCCTTGACCTCAGAGTTATTGAATATGATTCTCTTGGCAACTGTGATGCATTTCAGGGTCAACAAAATAAAAATCTACTTATGCATCTCTCCTTGGAGTCCTTAAGTAGATCAAAAGTATTATCATCCCACAAGCTTCCAAGCTAGAAACATCACTTCCATCATCCTACCTCCCTTTGTCACCAAATCTTATCTGAATCAAAAGTCTGACATACTACCTAAACTCTATAAGTATATCTAAGGGCTTATTGGAGGGAGGATAAACAAACAAATGGTCAGGGAGTTCACTCTTCACACTCTCCTGACAGTGGCTTCAAAGTTTCAAGTTTTACAGAGACAGAAACTTTGCAGAAGCTGGATAATCTCAGCAAAGGGCTGTCGTGCACCTTGTGTGCTTGGAGACATTACAGGAGATGCTGTTCTGCTGCTACTCAGAAATGCCAAATGGCTAGTCTCTCTACACACTTGTTTTCTATTTCTCCACATTTCTCTACTGGGATGAGATACCCACCCACACTTTGGCAACAGTTCTGTCTCACCCAGCATCTACTCCAAGATCATGGGAGTGTAGTCTGCATGTCAGAGTGGGAGGTGATAAGGTCAAAATCAAGATCAAATGATCAGCCACTGAGTGTAGAGACAGGAAATTTACCCAGCTCATGCTGTATCTCTAGGCTTTTCTGTATGAGGTCACAATATCACCATTATTCCTTATTCTTAGTCATATAAAATCATTGAAAGCACCTGGTATTAACAAGGCATTAAAACAAAATATTCTTTTAATATTTTTTAGAGAGAGAGAGAGAATTTTTAAAGATTTTTTAGTTTTCCGTGGACACAACATCTTTATTGTACTTTTATGTGGTGCTGAGGATGGAACCCAGCGCCCTGCGCATGCCAGGCAAACGCACTACCGCTTGAGCCACACCCCCAGCCCTCTTTTAATATTAAAGAACAAATCTTACATCTCTCTCTTGCAAAAAGGAGAGGTCCATCAGTGTTTATACTAGATCATTATCAAGGGGAAAAACATTTAGTAAAGAGGAGAATACAATATAAAAACAAACAAAAAATACTTAAGTCATCTTATATGCTTGCTATAAAGCACATTACATATCATCTTATTATGCCTCAATTTGGCACAAGCGTCCCATCAACCCTACTTCATAAAGGAAAAAGGAAAAGCTTCGAGAGATGGAATAACCATTCCAGGTTATGGTTTATATGTAGGAATGACCCCTGAAAAGTTCAGGTGTTAGAGAGCGCAGCAATGTTCAGAGGTGAAAAGATTGGATAATGGGCCTGTAACCTCATCAGTATGTTAATCTATTTGATGCATTAATAACTTGAATGGACCAGTGGGTATAACTATAGGCAGGTGCATGTCTGGAAGAGGTAGCTCACTGGGTAAGCCCGTTGAGACTGTATGTTATCTCCAGCTCTTTTCCCTCTTGCTCTCTCACTCTCATGTCCCCTACTCTGCTTTCCATGAGTTGAGCAGCTTTCCTCCTTATGAACTTCTACCATGATGTTCTGCCTCACCTCACGCCCCAGAGCAATGGAATTAACTAGCTATGGACTGCCTCTGAAACTGTGAGCCTCAAATCAACTTTTCCTCTTCTAAGATGTGTTTCTTGGGTATTCTGATCATAGCAACACAGAAATAGATGGTATTTGAATCTGTATGTGCAGAAATGCTAGAGATGGGAAATAAGAAAGGGATCAAAAACCAGGAGGGAAAATGAGATCCATGTAGTGTAGTGGTTGCAGAGAGGCTATTGGTTTATAGTCTGCTCTTTGCTTCTTCCCGCTACCCTCTCTTGCTCCTTGTGACTCCCTCTGATGCAGGCCTGGAGGCAGCAGTATGCTCAAACAGGTGGGGAACTGAGCTTTGGGGAAGCCTGAGGTTTCTGTGCTATATTTGTGGGGATTGGTTATATCTTTATTCTGCCTGGATATTACTTTCAATGGAATCCACATTTACCAGTAATTGGAAAAAGAAAAGAGAGACAGCAGTCAGGCAAGGTGCATAAAAGAGAGAGAACCTGTTTTGTTGTTGTTGTTGTTGTTGTTGTTGTTGTTCAACATTCCCGGTATTTCTAAATCTATGTTTCTACAAAACATTTTCTTTTCCACATGTTTATACTGAAATAAAGAGACATCAGGAATGGGATCTCTAAGGAAAAATTAGAACATGAGGAATAGGTTGACCAAGTCTAAGGAATAGGTTGACCAAGGCAGAACACAGACTAGAGCTTCCAACAAGGCTCATAGACCAACTACCTGGGTGAAGAGGAAATCTCCAAACATTGTAACTCAGGAGCCATAGATTGGATTCGTCAGAACAAGCCCTCAACACTTACTCATCAGTCACTTTCCCAACTCAAGTGTTTCTGGGTCAAGCCTGTTCCTTGTGCTCAGGCTGACTTGAGAGCAATACCTAGCCCCTAAAAGCCTCTTATCAGGTACTACTTGGTCTATCCTCAAGGTGTAGAATCCTATGGAAAGGAACATATATAATCATGAAGACTTGAGATTCTACATCCTCATTCCACAGAAGACTGCTGACTATAATATCAACCTAAGACCTTATGCAGAAAAACCCTTAATTTTTTAAAATTCATAGGTAATATTTGATTTTACTTTAAAGATGAAAGAATAGAGATCCTTAAATCAATGTAGAAAATCCCATTGTTCATTTATAATGAAAGTTTTCTGCTTACTTAGAAAGAGGAGAGTGAGGAACAGATTCTACATTCTTAATTTTTTCTTGCTTTAATTAGGCTCCAATGCAGAAATAGGAAGAAGAAAAATTGGCAGCTTTAAATGGTAAGGCTGGGCTACTCAGTGCCAGCACTCTCAGGATTGATATGAATCTCTTTTTTCATGAGGTTCCAGATCTAGTTATTCAGAGCTAGTCCTTCCCAGAAAACAGCTCTCAGAAGAAAGACCTCAAGGAAAGATATCAGAATTTAAAACACTTCCAATCAATGCTCTGCCCCTCCATGGGAACTAGAGCTGGGTAATAGGTCTTCCTTATCAAATGTTGATAAGAGGTGTACTGGAAAGAACATCAGTTAGATTTGGAAGCAAAATTCCCAGGACCAAACTTTGAAAAAGTTGTCAATGTTCCTGAATATTAGATTCCTCCTTTGAGAGAATGCACTGATGCAAATCTCACTAGGATGTTGTGATGATTACCTGGGATAATGTAATTGAAAGCACTTTGGAAAGAAACAGCATGGCATGTATGTGATCCTCACTATTAATGTCATTGATCCTTGGATCGTAGATTGTAATTTCTGGTGTTCTCTGGGTCAAATCTTGAGTTTCTTCCCAGTGAAAGATTTTACAAATTTGCTACAAAGTGGCTTTGCTTCTATTCCTACCATGTTATCCAGGCTGCTAATTTCCCTAATTAAGATAGGTCACTTAAAAGAATCCTTTTCTTCCCTTTCCTCAATGCCTTTCTTTTAGTTTCCACAAATGAGAGAATTCATATGATAACTATCTTTCCAAGGCTGACTAATTTTACTTGACATAATAATCTCCAGCTCCATCTATTGTCCTACAAATGATTCATACTTCTTTATGACTAAATATGTCCATTTTGTATATATGCCATACTTTTCCTACATTCATCTCTTGACAGGCACCTATGCTGATTCCATGTGTTATTGCGAACAGTACCACAATAAACATAGTTATGTAGGTTAAAAAAAATGAAAAAAGAAAGAAAGAAAAGAAAAAAAAGAAAGGCAAAGGAAAGAAAAAAAGAAGCATCCAAGGTACCATCAGACTAACTTTCTTCTCAGAAAAGAGAGTTAATCTCTCTTATTATCCCAGGTATACTTCTTCCTAGCTCATTTCAGAGGCCCAGTGCAGCAGGGACTTAGGAGGGAGAATACATTGGAAAGGGAAGTGAATACCAGCTATGAAGTGAGGAATTAAGGAGTCTTGTGTATCACCCTACTGTCTACATCCATCTTCATATTGCTTTCCTTTCTTTCCACCACCATGAGAATGAATATTGTCTTTGGATTTAGGGCACATCCTAAATCCAAGACAATATCATCTTAAGATTTTAAGCCCATCTACAAAGACACGTTTTATAACTAAGATCACGTTCACAGCATATGGTAGTTAGAACTTGAACCTCTCTTTTTTTTCGGGGGGGGCGCTATTCAGTCCCCTATAGTTCCTCTCTAATAATAGTTAGAGGTTTGGAGACATCCCTCAAACAGAGGATTATGACAAGTAAGACAAGAATCAATCACTGACTCAAGAGAGAAAGAACCCTAGGAGGCCTTTAGCAGGCGAGATTCTAAGAGGAGTTAAGGATTGGAGATCTCACACGTCAAGTAGAATTCCCTTGCCCAGGAAAGGACTGGCAGAGAATGGAATAAAAGTTCCCAGTTCCTGACACAGTTTCCAACATACACTGAATGTAAAATATGATGAAGTTTGTCTGTGGCTTTATCCACTAAAAAGAGGAAAGGAACATGAGACATACATGACAAACCAAATGAACGACAGACAGCCTATGTGCAAAGCCCAGCCATTTAGAAAGAAGAGCTGCGTCTGTTTATATTCCGGCTGCTGGTGTACCTAATTACTAAAACAAACACTTCTTCACAGGAAGACTCACACAGACTCCATATAATAACACAGGCTAATTTCAACACACCTCTCTCACCCACAGATAGGTCATCCAGACATGAAATCAATAAATACACATTAGACCTAAAAATATTATAAATCCAACTTACCTAACAAAGCTACAGAATATTTTATCTAACAGCAGTTGAGTTTACTTTCTTCTCAGCTACTCAGAAACCATCTCCAAAATACATACGTTTTAGGTCACAAATAAGTCTTATCAAATATTTAAAAAAATGATATATTTCCTTGCATCAACAAAAAATGTAGAAACCACATAAACATATAGAGATTGAATAATGTACTTTTTTCATTTTTTTATTTGTTCTAAATAGTTACGCTTGACAGTAGAATGCATTTTGACATATCATACATAAGTGGAATATCACTTCTCATTCTTCTGGTTGTACATGATATAGAATTACACTGGTGGTATAAACAGATATGCTCATAGGGTCATATTTCTGATTCATTCTATTATCCTTCTGACCCCCATATCCTCCCATCCCTTTATTTCCCTCTGTCTAATCCAAAGTAACTCTATTCTTCCCTAGCCCCCCACTTATCATGAATCAGCATCTATATATCATAGAAAATATTTGACCTTTGGTTCTTTGGGATTGGCTTATTTCCCTTAGCATGGTATTCTCCAGCTCCATCCATTTACCTGAAAATGCCATCATTTCATTCTTCTTTAAGGCTGAGTAATATTCCATTGTGTATATATCCCACATTAGTATGCTGCTTTTAAGTCGTTTGGGTAGATGCCAAGGGGTGGGATAACTGAGTCAAATGGTGGTTCCATTCCAAGTTTTCTGAGGAATTTCCATACTGCTTTCCATAGTAGTTGCACCAATTTGCAGTCCTACCAGCAATGTATGAGTGAACCATATTCCACATATTCTTGTCAACATTTACTGTTGTTTGTACTCTTGATAATTGTCCATTCTGACTAGAATGATATGAAATCTTAGAGTAGTTTTGATTTGCATCA